TAGTAGAAAATCTTCATTCCCTTAAAAATCTAGTTCACTGTAGCCATGTGGAACCTTGTCCTGAAGGCCCGTGGCTTCTTCTGCCACTAGCTCATTTGTTGGAGGCTGAATTAATAGTAGAAAATCTTCATTCCCTTAAAAATCTAGTTCATTGTAGCCATGTGGAACCTTGTCCTGAAGGCCCATGGCTTCTTCCCGGTTCATTCTGTTTTTGAAGTTGGTTTCTAGATATTCTTTTGAAAAGTAGTTATAATGTAAAATTTGCTTAACTCGTAAAAGCAGCGTTGGAGACCCTGCCTGGTGATGCAGTTGGTAGCGAACTGCACCATAGTGGTGGAAGTTCCATGCCAACGTCAGGTAGAGATTCCTGGTTGGTCTGAAAACATGCCAGGTTCATGCCCAGATCCTGGAGACCTGGAGGGTCAGGAAGGGGGATGTGCTATGACAACACCCTGTCCTGGGTGCTTCTCTCTTCTTCTCTCATTTGCATGTTTGTGCTATCAATGAATAAAATAAGCAAATTTAATAAAAAGAAGCTTTTTCATGAAAGTAAAGTATAAAAAATGCAGTGAACATTTAGAATCATGGAAAAGGCACTGCAAAACAAATTAGGAGTGACCAGCAGATGGCATAATGGTTACATGGCTGGACTTTCAAGTGGTCGACCACGGTTCAAGTCCCAAACCCAATGCCTTGACACTCATGCCGGGCACGTGTGTGTGCATCACCAAAATCCCAAGAGGAGAAGGGATTGTCTACACATTCTAGAGGCATACCTGAAGTGTAAAGATGGGCAGGGCAAAGTCAGCATCTGAATATTGAAATTGCCACCCTCAACAAATGCATAGTTTACTTCATTGTAAAGAAAAACTAAAAAATAAGCATATTAACAGTAAGATGTAATACTTATTACAGGTGAACAGAGCTGAAAGGAACAAAGGCAAAGATTACATGCATTAGGATCTCTGAAGGACAACTACCAGCTCTTGACCAAAGCTTTAAGGTAAGATAGTCAATGCAGGAGCCAGATAGTGGTGCAGAAGAAAAAAAATACAATGCTCTGTAAGGCAATTCCACTTGAGAAGGTTCCTGGTTCAAGTCTGGAGACCTCCCTGATTATGTTGAGCACATACTTGCCCATGATATGGTAGTGGCTGACAGCTGGGGTGGGTTACAACATGAGGTTCTTGTTGAGGCATCTCTCTCTCATGGGAGAAATAAATAAATTTAAAATAAATAATGTAAATAAAATTTAGAAAGTTAGTGCAATGACAGCATAGTAGAAAATCCAATAAGAAGCAATCATTCTCATTGCAACAGTGTGGTAGTTTAGGGATCATGGGTTTGACAGATGTGGTTGAGTATAATTGGTTGGTCACTTCCTAGCAAGCAAGTTAATTACATGTTCATTGTAGGAAATTTGAAAAACACAGAAAAACATCAAAGAATTTTAAAATGCATGATATCCTGGAAAATGTAATTTTAACTTTCTAAACTCTCTACCAAAGGAAAGCAAGTCAGAATAGATGTTTCTGGATCTCCCATGCTGACCACCTCCATTAATCAGGGTTCTCCAGAAAACATGAGTGCTGAGGGCAGGAGAAGAGACTTGATTTACTATGGCAGTCAGGTGGAGGGTGAATTCAACTTTCTTCTACCTGTTTGTTCAAATAAGCCTTTGATGGATTGAATGGTGTCCATCCACAGCTGGGAGACCACTGCCAAGCCCAATCCAACAATTCAAATGTCAGTCTCCAGTATGGCAGCCATGATTAAGAATAATTTGTTATTGTCACTTGCCCTTGCTGGAGAGAGAGACAGAGACAGAGAGAGGGAAAGTGAGAAATCTTTTTTATTGTGTGTTTTTTTTTGTTTTTTTGTTTGTTTGTTTTTTTGCCGTAAGTCACTTGCCCTTACTGGGGAGATAGAGACAGAGAGAGGGAAAGTGAGAAATCACCTCCCAGGGGACTCAACATGCTTCTATCTCTTCTCCTCCATTCTCCTCTTGGGATTTGGGCATGCATGCAAATGTGCCCAGTGTGATTTTCAAACCATTGGGTCTAGGACTCAAACTGCCATTGACCTTGTGGGAGTCCAGTGCTTAACTAGCAACCCACCTGCTGGTCCCAATTTATTGTATATTTTAACTTGACAAAATTTACTGTTTTTCTAGTTATTTAACACAGGCAATATCTGATCTAATCTTTTTTTCATGCAGCCTTCAGGCTGAGAATGGTATTTATATTTTAAAAATGGTTTTAAACATCAAAAGAAGAATGATATTTTTGGGCACATGAAAATGGTATTAAATTTAAATTTCAGTGTCTCTTATGGCAATGAAGAGAAATGAACTACTGATACATGCAACAAATGGGTGGATCTCAAAATAATTATGTTGATTGAAAGAAACTGGGCAACGATTTGGGTCATTAAAAGAAGTTTCTTACAATAAAGCTTATCCAAACCTTTCTTAACGTTGGAACCAGAAACTTTCAAATTTTTTAAGTCACGTCAATGTTCAGAGCATCTTAGCTCTGACCTTTAGAAGGCTACCAGTTTGAAGGGATGTGAGTACAGTCAAGCTATTCCTTCTCTTCCTGGCTACTTTTATGCTTGGTGGACTCTGCTTTTTTTTTTTTTCCTTTCCAGGTTAGAGCACAAAGACCTGAAAGAACACAGAACACCA